ACGGCCTCATATCTCGGTAAGTACTGACTAAATTATTTTTTTATGCTATAACACTTAGAAAAATGTGCTCTTTATTTCTATAAGTTTTTTTTTTTTTCAAAATATTAGGGGTGTTGGGAGAGAGAACATATATATACATTTGGACCATTTACTGGTTAAATACGAAAAATGTACGTATTTAAAAATAAGAAACATTGTATATGTCACCCACCACCATATCTACTCCACCCACCATTATCACTACTACACCCACCACCCTCACTACTCGAACCACCACCATATCTACTCCATCCACCATTATCACTACTCCGTCCACTATCATCACTACTCCACCCACCACCATCACTACTCCACCCACCACCATCACTACTCCACCCACCACCATCACTACCCCACCCACCACTATCACTACTCCCACCACTATCACTACTCCACCCACCACTATCACTACTCCACCCACCACTATCACTAACCCACCCACCACCATCACTACCCCACCCACCACCATCACTACCCCACCCACCACTATCACTACACCCACCACTATCACTACCCCACTCACCACCTTCACTACCCCACCCACCACCATCACTACCCCACCCACCACTATCACTACTCCACCCACCACTATCACTACCCCACCCACCACTATCACTACTCCACCCACCACTATCATTACTCCACCCACCATTATCACTACTCCACCCACCACTATCACTACTCCACCCACCACTATCACTACTCCACCCACCACCATCACTACTCCACCCACCACTATCACTACTCCACCCACCACTATCACTACTCCATCCACCACCATCACTACTCCACCCACCACTATCACTACTCCACCCACCACCATCACTACTCCACCCACCACCATCACTACTCCACCCACCCTAATTAATGCTCCTGGAAAAACCCTCGAGTGTTGAAATGGAGGTTACCTCTTCCCCGGATTTATACGAGAACCAAACAAGGGATGAGGTGCCTCACTACAATCTGGGATTAGTGTGGGAGTATTATCCTTCCAGTTATGTCTTGGAAGAGCATGTGGGATGGGATGAAGTACCTGACATTCTTCTGGGTACAGAGTTGGATTTGACTTCAGATACGCTGCCAACTAGTGGCGGCGTATCTGAAGCTCGCTTGTAACTCGGATTTTGGCTTGCAACTTGTAGCAAAAAAATTGGCCGAGCGACAGCCCATAATTCGGAAAACTCATAGGTTGGGGCACTCGTAAGTCAAAGTACCACTATATTAGTATTACTATGGCGTTCAGACTAGAGGGATGCTTTAAGTGATTTAATGTGTACTTGCATGCCAGCACAGTGTGTAAGTATATTTAGGTACAGGTACACACAAGTATTATTAGAGTACACATAAAATATGCAATAACTTTAAAACACTTGAAATTCTGGAAAGTTTCCAGACATAATAGAGGGATGTGGAGAATGTAAACAAACCAGGTGGGCATGCCCTATTAAAAAGACAGGTTGTCGTATAGCGAGTTTTGGTCATAATTTGATATTGCTGTATTAGCGGAATGCCATAAAGTGGGGCCCTACTGTACTTAGTTTAAACTATATTGAAGATATTCAGTAATTCAGTAAAAAATTCTAATTAAGGATGAAGCTAGGTACCTGAATTGACACACACAAAAAAAATACCCTTGTAATAATAAATGAAATCTGATGGAAAGGTGGAACAAAAACAGGAACATTTTTGGATGAAAGACAAGATTTCAGGATCTCTTTGGTAAAATAAACTGAGAATCACATTAGGGTAAGGAGGTGTTTTAACAGTAATGTTGAAGTAGTTGGCAGATAGGGAGCCTTTGATATCTTCAGGCAAAGAGTTTCAAATTTTAGGTCCTTTTGTACAGTGAATTTTATACAAGCTGAGTTGGACACAGGGAATATCATAGAGATTTTTATATCTAGTATTATGCCTATGAGCTCTGCTGCAGCAATTAAGAAAGAGTTTCAGGCAGGAGTGATATTAGAATTGACTATCATGAGTATGCACAGCAGTATGAGTAAATTTTATGTATATTAAGTAAGTTTAGACTTTTGAAGAGAGGGGGAATGTGTTGTATAGTACTAGACTGGGCGATCATTTGTACAATCACTTTCTGTTGAGTTGTTATTGACTTCAGATGATTTGCTGTAGTGGATCCCCAGGCACAAACAGCATAGGTGAGGCAGGGATAGATAGTATAATGTAAGTAGTGCTTTTAAGGTACAGATTAATGTATCTTAGAGAGAGTGCCAACTGATTTTGTTATTTTTGTGCTGAATGTGGGTAATGAGTTTCAAATTGCTGTCAAGAAACAAACCTAAAAATTTTCCTTTGTTTTGTTTTGCCTACCACTGCTCCACCTCATCTGTATGCAGTATATATCAAGAGTGATGGACTGAACACATCAACTCCAAGCTGAAGGACTGATTAGCACAAACTCCTTTTCATTTTCCACTATTTCTCTGCATTGGATTGATGAAGCCACTGACTGGTGAAACGTTTCCAGAATTAAGATAACTAAGCGTTGCACAAGTGTCTTATTATCACCTATCATGATGTCAAGTCAGCTAACAATAGCTTCCATCCTACCTCAAAGAAAGCACACCCTCTGCCTCTACTTCCTATCCTTACTATGAAGTCCCATCCATAAACATAATCTAGGAATTCCCCACCAAAACCACATTCTTACCTTCACTAGTTTTTTTTTTTTTTTTCAACAAACCAGCTGCATCCCACCAAGGCAGGGTGGCCCAAAAAGAAAAAGAAAGTTTCTCTTTTTAAATTTAGTAATTTATACAAGAGAAGGGGTTGCTAGCCCCTTGCCCCCTGCATTTTAGTTGCCTCTTACAACACGCATGGCTTTCGGAGGAAGAATTCTGTTCCACTTCCCCATGGAGATAAAAAGAAATTAACAAGAACAAGAACTAGAAAGAAAATAGCAGAAAACCCAGAGGGGTGTGTATATATATGCTTGTACATGTATGTGTAGTGTGACCTAAGTGTAAGTAGAAGTAGCAAGACGTACCTGAAATCTTGCATGTTTATGAGACAGAAAAAAAGGACACCAGCAATCCTACCATCATGTAAAACAATTACAGGCTTCCATTTTACATTCACTTGACAGGAAGGTAGTACCTCCCTGGGTGGTTGCTGTTTACCAACCTACTACCTCTGACCTTCACTAGTTATCCCTAATGAAATGCTCCTGGTGGCTTATCCACACTTGTCACGTAGTGCAGTGAAGGAATTTGTAATCTTCACAAGTTTCCTTTACCTTTCTCATTTTCAGCTTCAGACCCCCTCCTGCCCATCAGCTTCCATCTGCTGCAGCTGGTCTTCTTATTACTACAGCCAGTCCCCTTTTTGCTGTGGCTGATCTTCTTTTTCTTGTTCATGCATGAAATTTGCACTTCCCTCTTAAGACACCGAACCTCCCTTCTAGCCTTCTTTAGCTCCACCTTATCCTGAAGGTACAGTTCCTCAAAGCTCAAAGAAGCAATCCTTAATACCTCAGTAATCCAAAGACGAACCCATCCTTAACACCTCTCTGTACATTAATAGGTCTTCAATGTACACAGATTAACTCTCTGTCTACAGTTAAGCCTTTGTATAACAGACCTTTATGCAAAAGAATTCTGATAAAATAGAAAAAAAAATTAGCCAAAGGCTCAATGAGTCCACTACAGAGGAGTGTCTGGTTATGTCATTGATAAACTAAATTAACTGCCTTAAGCATTTGTTCATACAGATGTCTGGTAGTGTCACTGATGCAGTGAAAAGGCCAGAGTGGCCCAGTCTGGGACCTATCCATTTCCACTGTTCTCGGATAAGCCAGGCCACTGGCTCTGCTTGCCTCAGTTTATTATCTGTGTGCACTCACATGTACAATTATCGTATGGTCTCCAATTTTCCCCTGGATTTAAATTTTAGCCTCTTTATTAACATTTGACAAACAATGTTCTTATCACTGGCCACTAAAGCAAGTGGTGCTGCAAGAAAAAGCATGCGCATATTAATTGCTAAGCAGAAATTTGAAACTACTAAGGAAGGTGGAGTCTGTAGTGTTGCTGTCATATGTGTGAGGAGTATGGTGCAGCAGAGCAGTTCCTGGTATATGTAGAAGCAAAGGTAAACTTTTATAATATGCTCCAGTACCATCTGCAGTATCACTGCTGGAGCTTTACATATCCTCTAACTTAGAATAAAAGTTATTCCAAGTCATCACTAGATAATAGGGCATTGGTTAAAGCTCATCTATCCACCACATAAGATATGAAAAATTATTATATTCTGTAGTACTGTAATTTTACTTTCAGGTAATTTACTGTACTGTAATACAGTGTATTCTAGATGTCCATGAGCAGTTGGTCTCCAGTCACTTCACTGTAACAGATTTTTAATTCAGCAGATACTCCATTCACTGAGGATTCTCTGTACTCTTATGTTCATATACGAGTGAGAAGACTGGGACTGAGGACTTGCCTAGCACGGACCAGAAGATCTACTGCAGTGCTTCTCAAGTTCTTATGTTTTTAGTAACAGAAATAATAAGAAAGTACCAATCCATCAATAGACTTGTCAATAAATGGAACAATCTGCTAAGTTGGATCACTGAAGCTAAAACCTTAGGAAGTTTTAAAAGTTGGGTAGACAAATAAAGTAAGGATTGGCTCTGAAAAGAACCTGCATATCATAAGCAGCTAAACCTGCTGCAGTGCTCCTCCACTCTTTTGTTCTTATAGCTTTTAATTATTTAAGATATTTTTTCATATTTTATTGGGGATGGCTTGCATTCATAGAATAGAGTGGGGGTTATTACTCTGAGCTTATTTAATACAAAAAAAAAACTTGTCTTATGGCCAATAATACATGGCAATTGTCACCTTAATTAACTGTATAACATCTTTCACTTTAATAATGTGTGTGTGTTTTCTAAGATGTTACATTGACTGAAAACAAATCAAATGCTACATATTTACCTTCTTAGCTTTAATGCCATATGCCTTTTCAAGGTGAGTTACAATTTTCTTCTGTGCAACTCTTAATTCTGAATGAACCGGCGTTACCAAAGGAGACCCACCATCATCCTCAATGTAAAAGTAGCGAAGATTTTGAACATCAACCTTCAAAACAAAATTACTTATTAGACAAAAATAGTCAAGACACATAAGGCAAGAGAAATTTGATAAGGTTTTCTATAACTTGTACAGTAAGTAGAATGATAAATAAAATATTGATACATAAAGTAGTTGCCTACTAGACATCAACATAATCAAATTATTTTTTCTGTTTCGCAATGTGCTTCTTTTATTGCTTTCCTTACGAAAAGCATAAAAATAAAGCTTGACAATCTATGCATCACTTCAAAATAACATGCAGCCACTATGGCTACAGCATTTATTTCATTTTATTGATCTGAAAAAAATCATTTGATACTATTGTTTACAGTATCCTCCTTCAACAAGAGTACTCTCAACTTAAAAGCACATACATTTATTTTTATCATACCTTATCTCAATGAGAGATACCAACATGTTATTATAAAGGACATTACCTCATCAACATTGTCTATAAATATTGGTTTACAACAGCATCCTGAACTCTATAATTTCCTTCTTTACATCAGTCATCTACCAAACACAACCCATATGCATAAACCAATGCTAGTTGCAGACAGCATCACACCTGCTGCCTCAAATCAAGATTCAGCTCTCTTAACAATTAATACAGCAAATGATGAACTCTAATGAATCTTCACTTAGATAATACCAGACAAGTGTACAATTGATGGAGGAAACAATATAATTCAAAAACATCAGGATAAATGATACACAAATACTGTAGTAAAAAAAATAAAGGGATGAAGGTCAGGTTTTGGGCTTACACCTTAGGTAACAAATTAATTTAAAATACATTTTACTTTAACACAAATATTACAGTTTAGATGCCTCTCAAAACTGAAAATATTCCCATCTCTCCTTCAGTGTGGTGTGGGCAAGGTACTTCCCACCTCCAGGACTCAAATCTAGCTAACTAGTTTCCCTGAATCACTTCACAAAGTGTTACCTTGCTCACACTCCAACAGTTTATCACATCCCAAAAGCCATTTAAATCCACTCACTCTTATCTAATATGCTCACACACGCCTGCTAGATGTCCAAGCCCCTCGCACACAAGACCTTCTTTACCCCCTCCCTCCAACCTTTCCTAGGGTGACCCCTACCCCACCTCAGATTTATACACCTAAGTCATTCTATTTTTCCCCTTCCTCTGTAAAGGTCCAAACCCCCTGAATAACTCATCAGCCCTGCACCTCCTCCTCCTAATTTCCAAACTACAAACTCTCTGCTTAATATTTACACATCACACTGCATTCAGACAATACACTTTCACTGCTTCCAACCTCCTCCTCCTCCTCACTGCAACTTTTAAAACCAATGCTTTAGAACTGTGTGTGTGTTGGCATCACTATCCTCTGATACATTACCCCTTTTCCCTCCATGGATAACAATCTTTGTCTCCACATGGTACCCTAGTAACTACCCTGGTAACCACCATGGTTCCCTGGTAATCACCATGGCTCCTTGGTAACCACCATGGTTCCCTGGTAACCACCATGGTTCCCTGGTAACCACCATGGTTCCCAGGTAACCACCATGGTTCCCTGGTAACCACCATGGTTCCCTGGTAACCCCCATGGTTTCCTGGTAACCACCATGGTGCCCTGGTAATGACTATGGTCCCCTGGTAACCCTTATGGTCCCCTGGTAACCCCCATGGTTCCCTGGTGACCACCATGGTTCCCTGGTAACCACCATGGTGCCCTGGTAATGACTATGGTCCCCTGGTAACACTTATGGTCCCCTGGTAACAACCATGGTCCCCTGGTAACCCCCATGGTTCCATGGTAACCACCATGGTTCCCTGGTAACCACCATGGTTCCCTGGTAACCACCATGGTTCCCTGGTAACCACCATGGTTCCCTGGTAACCACCATGGTCCCCTGGTAACCACCATGGTTCCCTGGTAACCACCATGGTTCCCTGGTAACCACCATGGTTCCCTGGTAACCATCATGGTTCCCTGGTAACCACCATGGTTCCCTGGTAACCACCATGGTTCCCTGGTAACCACCATGGTTCCCTGGTAACCACCATGGTTCCCTGGTAACCACCATGGTTCCCTGGTAACCACCATGGTTCCCTGGTAACCACCATGGTTCCCTGGTAACCACCATGGTTCCCTGGTAACCACCATGGTTCCCTGGTAACCACCATGGTTCCCTGGTAACCACCATGGTTCCCTGGTAACCACCATGGTTCCCTGGTAACCACCATGGTTCCCTGGTAACCACCATGGTTCCCTGGTAACCACCATGGTTCCCTGGTAACCACCATGGTTCCCTGGTAACCACCATGGTTCCCTGGTAACCACCATGGTTCCCTGGTAACCACCATGGTTCCCTGGTAACCACCATGGTTCCCTGGTAACCACCATGGTTCCCTGGTAACCACCATGGTTCCCTGGTAACCACCATGGTTCCCTGGTAACCACCATGGTTCCCTGGTAACCCCCATGGTTTCCTGGTAACCACCATGGTGCCCTGGTAATGACTATGGTCCCCTGGTAACCCTTATGGTCCCCTGGTAACAACCATGGTCCCCTGGTAACCCCCATGGTTCCATGGTAACCACCATGGTGCCCTGGTAACCACCATGGTTCCCTGGTAACCACCATGGTTCCCTGGTAACAACCATGGTCCCCTGGTAACCCCCATGGTTCCCTGGTAACCACCATGGTTCCCTGGTGACCACCATGGTTCCCTGGTAACCACCATGGTGCCCTGGTAATGACTATGGTCCCCTGGTAACCCTTATGGTCCCCTGGTAACAACCATGGTCCCCTGGTAACCCCCATGGTTCCATGGTAACCACCATGGTTCCCTGGTAACCACCATGGTTCCCTGGTAACCACCATGGTTCTCTGGTAACCACCATGGTTCCCTGGTAACCACCATGGTTCCCTGGTAACCACCATGGTCCCCTGGTAACCACCATGGTTCCCTGGTAACCACCATGGTTCCCTGGTAACCACCATGGTTCCCTGGTAACCACCATGGTTCCCTGGTAACCACCATGGTTCCCTGGTAACCACCATGGTTCCCTGGTAACCACCATGGTTCCCTGGTAACCATCATGGTTCCCTGGTAACCATCATGGTTCCCTGGTAACCACCATGGTTCCCTGGTAACCACCATGGTTCCCTGGTAACCACCATGGTTCCCTGGTAACCACCATGGTTCCCTGGTAATCACCATGGCTCCCTGGTAACCCCCATGGTTCCCTGGTAACCACCATGGTTCCCTGGTAACCATGATGGTTCCCTGGTAACCACCATGGTTCCCTGGTAACCACCATGGTTCCCTGGTAACCATCATGGTTCCCTGGTAACCACTATGGTCCCCAGGTAACCACCATGGTCCTCAGGTAACCCCCATGGTTCCCTGGTAACCACCATGGTCTCCTGGTTACCACCATGGTCCCTTGGTAACCCCAATGGTACCCTGGTAACAACCATGGTCCCCTGGTGACCCCCATGGTCACTTGCCTGGCCTTCCCATCCTGCTCCCTATGATCACCTGCCTGATTCCAGGCAGGTGATCTCTCAACTGTCCCCCAGAACACCAACAACTCTCACAGTTCATCTGATAATATGATTTTAAACAAAATTTCTCAAACTGGGTGAATGGATAACAGAGGTTTTGGGTTAAAATAGGAATATTTATAACAGGCTTTACTGTAGTGCCTTCTTATGCTTAGAATACAGATTTGCATTAATTTATGCATTAAACAAATATTATGTACATAATGTCCACCCATTAAAAAATACCATAAACTAAAATTTACCTTTTGGTCCAGTTTGAGCATGTGAACATTACTGGCAGCTAGGATCTTAAGTAGTGGAGTCAGATCTTTGACATATCTACACATGGGTCCAGTCACCAGAAAATTCATTGCTTCACCACTTGCTTTAGGCTCCTGGCCTAGATTACTTACTATTCCTGTAGGAAATATATGTTGAATTTGGATAATACTACTGAATTAATGAGCAAAATAAATACTACATTAAAATTGATAAATTTGGAAAAAAGGAAGAGTTAGTGCGTGGCATGTTAACATATTGTACGTAGTGGGGTTAATAAAGTCATAGTGTGAGTGTAAGGTACATACAGTGGGCTCTGCTGGTGTAGGGCTCTTGATTTATAGACAACACACACATCAAAAAGAAGCTTTTATTAATGGAGAATTTCACTAAACGAGGCTTATCAAGTACATAAAACATCAGAAATGCGTAACACACAAGCTTGCTTGTGCATGTGTTGCTTGTTTTGATATTTGTACATGATAAAGCCTCATATACATGAAATGTCACATTAATGAAAATCTCCTTTTGGTATACATGTCTTTGCTTGTTGCCAATGCCATACTTCAACTCCAGTATGTATCCTGTTGTAGCCTGGGGAGGTGTATAGATTATCATTTGAAGCAAGCCAATAGTAGATGAATAAGACTTAAGTGCAACACTGGCTATCATTATTATGGAAATGTTTTTCAAACCAGTGACTTAATATATAATCAATCAAATACAGAGAATAATTACTGGAGTTGGTGGAAGACATTAAGAGAAAATTTGAAGTGATCAGTCTCTCTGTCCATCCCTGTGCACCTGCTCTAGATTTATCAAGACTGAGACCGAACATCAACCAAGACAGAGGGACAGTTTCCCTCAAATTTCCTCTTCATGTCCTCCACACATTCCAGTAATTATTTTCTGTATTCAATTGATAAAGACATTAGTCAGAGATATATCATTATAGTAAAGATACCCAAATGTTACATTTTTTTTTTTTTTTTTTTTTATTATCACACCGGCCGATTCCCACCAAGGCAGGGTGGCCCGAAAAAGAAAAACTTTCACCATCATTCACTCCATCACTGTCTTGCCAGAAGGGTGCTTTACACTACAGTTTTTAAACTGCAACATTAACACCCCACCTTCAGAGTGCAGGCACTGTACTTCCCATCTCCAGGACTCAAGTCCGGCCTGCCGGTTTCCCTGAATCCCTTCATAAATGTTACTTTGCTCACACTCCAACAGCACGTCAAGTATTAAAAACCATTTGTCTCCATTCACTCCTATCAAACACGCTCACGCATGCCTGCTGGAAGTCCAAGCCCCTCGCACACAAAACCTCCTTTACCCCCTCCCTCCAACCCTTCCTAGGCCGACCCCTACCCCGCCTTCCTTCCACTACAGACTGATACACTCTTGAAGTCATTCTGTTTCGCTCCATTCTCTCTACATGTCCGAACCACCTCAACAACCCTTCCTCAGCCCTCTGGACAACAGTTTTGGTAATCCCGCACCTCCTCCTAACTTCCAAACTACGAATTCTCTGCATTATATTCACACCACACATTGCCCTCAGACATGACATCTCCACTGCCTCCAGCCTTCTCCTCGCTGCAACATTCATCACCCACGCTTCACACCCATATAAGAGCGTTGGTAAAAACTATACTCTCATACATTCCCCTCTTTGCCTCCAAGGACAAAGTTCTTTGTCTCCACAGACTCCTAAGTGCACCACTCACTCTTTTTCCCTCATCAATTCTATGATTCACCTCATCTTTCATAGACCCATCCGCTGACACGTCCACTCCCAAATATCTGAATACGTTCACCTCCTCCATACTCTCTCCCTCCAATCTGATATTCAATCTTTCATCACCTAATCTTTTTGTTATCCTCATAACCTTACTCTTTCCTGTATTCACCTTTAATTTTCTTCTTTTGCACACCCTACCAAATTCATCCACCAATCTCTGCAACTTCTCTTCAGAATCTCCCAAGAGCACAGTGTCATCAGCAAAGAGCAGCTGTGACAACTCCCACTTTGTGTGTGATTCTTTATCTTTTAACTCCACGCCTCTTGCCAAGACCCTCGCATTTACTTCTCTTACAACCCCATCTATAAATATATTAAACAACCACGGTGACATCACACATCCTTGTCTAAGGCCTACTTTTACTGGGAAAAAATTTCCCTCTTTCCTACATACTCTAACTTGAGCCTCACTATCCTCGTAAAAACTCTTCACTGCTTTCAGTAACCTACCTCCTACACCATACACTTGCAACATCTGCCACATTGCCCCCCTATCCACCCTGTCATACGCCTTTTCCAAATCCATAAATGCCACAAAGACCTCTTTAGCCTTATCTAAATACTGTTCACTTATATGTTTCACTGTAAACACCTGGTCCACACACCCCTACCTTTCCTAAAGCCTCCTTGTTCATCTGCTATCCTATTCTCCGTCTTACTCTTAATTCTTTCAATTATAACTCTACCATACACTTTACCAGGTACACTCAACAGACTTATCCCCCTATAATTTTTGCACTCTCTTTTATCCCCTTTGCCTTTATACAAAGGAACTATGCATGCTCTCTGCCAATCCCTAGGTACCTTACCCTCTTCCATACATTTATTAAATAATTGCACCAACCACTCCAAAACTATATCCCCACCTGCTTTTAACATTTCTATCTTTATCCCATCAATCCCGGCTGCCTTACCCCCTTTCATTTTACCTACTGCCTCACGAACTTCCCCCACACTCACAACTGGCTCTTCCTCACTCCTACAAGATGTTATTCCTCCTTGCCCTATACACGAAATCACAGCTTCCCTATCTTCATCAACATTTAACAATTCCTCAAAATATTCCTTCCATCTTCCCAATACCTCTAACTCTCCATTTAATAACTCTCCTCTCCTATTTTTAACTGACAAATCCATTTGTTCTCTAGGCTTTCTTAACTTGTTAATCTCACTCCAAAACTTTTTCTTATTTTCAACAAAATTTGTTGATAACATCTCACCCACTCTCTCATTTGCTCTCTTTTTACATTGCTTCACCACTCTCTTAACTTCTCTCTTTTTCTCCATATACTCTTCCCTCCTTGCATCACTTCTACTTTGTAAAAACTTCTCATATGCTAACTTTTTCTCCCTTACTACTCTCTTTACATCATCATTCCACCAATCGCTCCTCTTCCCTCCTGCACCCACTTTCCTGTAACCACAAACTTCTGCTGAACACTTTAACACTACATTTTTAAAACCTACCCCATACCTCTTCGACCCCATTGCCTATGCTCTCATTAGCCCATCTATCCTCCAATAGCTGTTTATATCTTACCCTAACTGCCTCCTCTTTTAGTTTATAAACCTTCACCTCTCTCTTCCCTGATGCTTCTATTCTCCTTGTATCCCATCTACCTTTTACTCTCAGTGTAGCTACAACTAGAAAGTGATCTGATATATCTGTGGCCCCTCTATAAACATGTACATCCTGAAGTCTACTCAACAGTCTTTTATCTACCAATACATAATCCAACAAACTACTGTCATTTCGCCCTACATCACATCGTGTATACTTATTTATCCTCTTTTTCTTAAAATATGTATTACCTATAACTAAACCCCTTTCTATACAAAGTTCAATCAAAGGGCTCCCATTATCATTTACACCTGGCACCCCAAACTTACCTACCACACCCTCTCTAAAAGTTTCTCCTACTTTAGCATTCAAGTCCCCTACCACAATTTCTCTCTCACTTGGTTCAAAGGCTCCTATACATTCACTTAACATCTCCCAAAATCTCTCTCTCTCCTCTGCATTCCTCTCTTCTCCAGGTGCATACACGCTTATTATGACCCACTTCTCGCATCCAACCTTTACTTTAATCCACATAATTCTTGAATTTACACATTCATATTCTCTTTTCTCCTTCCATAACTGATCATTTAACATTACTGCTACCCCTTCCTTTGCTCTAACTCTCTCAGATACTCCAGATTTAATCCCATTTATTTCCCCCCACTGAAACTCTCCTACCCCCTTCAGCTTTGTTTCGCTTAGGGCCAGGACATCCAACTTCTTTTCATTCATAACATCAGCAATCATCTGTTTCTTGTCATCCGCACTACATCCACGCACATTTAAGCAACCCAGTTTTATAAAGTTTTTCTTCTTCTCTTTTTTAGTAATTGTATACAGGAGAAGGGGTTACTAGCCCATTGCTCCCGGCATTTTAGTCGCCTCATACGACACGCATGGCTTACGGAGGAAAGATTCTTTTCCACTTCCCCATGGACAATAGAAGAAATAAAAAAGAACAAGAGCTATTTAGAAAAAGGAGAAAAACCTAGATGTATGTATATATATATATGCATGTGCGTGTCTGTGAAGTGTGACCAAAGTGTAAGTAGGAGTAGCAAGATATCCCTGTTATCTTAGCGTGTTTATGAGACAGAAAAAGAAACCAGCAATCCTACCATCATGCAAAACAGTTACAGGTTTTTGTTTCACAGTCATCTGGCAGGACGGTAGTACTTCCCTGGGTGGTTGCTGTCTACCAACCTACTACCTACAAAATGTTACATATGTGTCTTATTCATCTATTTGTCAGTTTTGTATACCATTAATATAATAACAGAAGCCAATAATACTGTTACAGTTGTGGAAGCTGTCCCAGTTTCCAAAAAGTGGTGTTATTTCTCACTGACTATTCTCTTCACAGGTGATGTTGATACTTATTTTTGTGTACATGGCTCACTCTTGAGGTCAGTTGATGGCATTTTTGTCTTTTCTTTTAGAAATTGTTCAGAAACTTTGCTTATTACACCGTTTTATTAGAATGTGCATGGATGCATAAATGTTAATCAGGCATTATGTAACTCATCCTCTCTAACTACTTAGGCAGCTTCCAATTATGATTTCTAAGTATTCATTTATTGGCACTCTTTCACTTATACATGTGTTGCTTGAGGATTGTGCGTGTTGCAATAAAAGCAATTCACACCTTGTTTATCTGAGATACATTTTGTCTTTTTTTTTTTAATGTTACTTAAAATCATTCAGCTTTAACCTTACATAATCTCTGTTTTTTGCAAGGTTTCTAATTCAAATAATTGAAATTCTGGTCAGTAGAATGGTGGCTGGTGTAGATGTCCAATGTCAGGCTTAGAAAATTCGAGACCAAGCAACACTGCAGTCTACATATTTACTGTGCTAAAAAATTTTCATCATGAAGTTAATGAAAAATTAACCTAAGAATGATACAATTTTTGGCTTACAAAGATCTTTTGACCATCTTACCATAAGTAGGTTTGTGACCAAATATTCCATTGAAAAAAGCTGGCATGCGTATAGAGCCTCCAATATCTGATCCAATGCCAAATGGAGAGCCACAGGCAGACTGGATACAACCCTGAGAAAGATACAGCCATACAGTAATTATGGGCTGACTTGTGTAAATTGATGTTTTAATTCTCCTCAGTTAGTCTAATAAAAATTTTGGATGAAAATTGGTCAAAACTATGTTACTGTATTTTATTACCAAGCTTGACTCATCAGTTAGATTAAACCTCTAAAGATAACAGGATTTTATCCAAGAGGCTAGAAAATGTTGTAAGACTTGTATTTAGATTTAGTGGTTTCATTAAAAATTTAATGGAAAATATACAATGAAGATGTTTTATGAACTTAATTGGAACAACAGGCTTACTGATGTGAACCTGCTGATAAAATGTTACTGGTTTATAAAAACAAGAGTTGGAAAACTCACTTCACCACCAGAAGATCCTCCAACAATTCTACAAGTATGGTAAGGATTGTTTGTTCTTCCATATATTGTATTTGAACTCTCCCACCACATGCACAGCTCAGATACATTGGTGACACACAAAGGAATAGCCCCAGCTTCTCTCATTATTCGCACAGAATCTGCGTCTTCCTCAGCAATCATGTTTTTTCGACACCATAAGCCTGCTGTCTGACGCAGACCTATTAAAGAGACATGCTGGTAATTATTACAAATAAAAAAATTAATTGTAAGGAGTTTTTATGAGGATAGCGAGGCTCAGGTTAGGGTGTGTAAAAGAGGGAGACTACTTCCCGGTAAAAGTAGGTCTTAGAAAGGGATGTGTAATGTCACCATGGTTGTTTAATTTATCCTTGTAAAAGAAGTAAATGCTAGGGTGTTCGGGAGAGGGGTGGGATTAAATTATGGGGAATCAAATACAAAATGGGAATTGACACAGTTGCTTTTTGCTGATGATATTGTGCTTATGAGAGATTCTAAAGAAAAATTGCAAAGTTTAGTGGACGAGTTTGGGAGTGTGTGTAAAGGTAGAAAGTTGAAAGCGAACATAGAAAAGAGTAAGGTGATGAGGGTATCAAATGATTTAGATAAAGAAAAATTGGATATCAAATTGGGGAGGAGGAGTATGGAAGAAGTGAATGTTTTCAGATACTTGGGAGTTGATGTGTCAGCGGATGGATTTATGAAGGATGAGGTTAATCATAGAATTGATGAGGGGGAAAAAAGGTAAGTGGTGCATTGAGGTATATGTGGAGACAAAAAACATTATCTATGGAGGCAAAGAAGGGAATGTATGAAAGTATAGTAGTACCAACACTCTTATATGGGTGTGAAGCTTGAGTTGTGAATGCAGCAGCGAGGAGGCGGTTGGAGGCAGTGGAGATGTCCTGTCTAAGGGCAATGTGTGGTGTAAATATTATGCAGAAAATTCGGAGTGTGGAAATTAGGAGAAGGTGTGGAGTTAATAAAAGTATTAGTCAGAGGGCTGAAGAAGGGTTGTTGAGGTGGTTTGGTCATTTGGAGAGAATGGATCAAAGTAGAATGACATGGAGAACATTTAAATCTGTAGGGGAAGGAAGGTGGGGTAGGGGTCGTCCTCGAAAAGGTTGGAAGGAAGGGGTAAGGGAGGTTTTGTGGGCGAGGGGCTCGGACTTCCAGCAGGCGTGCGTGAGCGTGTTCAACAGGAGTGAATGGAGACGAATGGTATTTGGGACCTGACGATCTGTTGGAGTGTGAGCAGGGTAATATTTAGTGAAGGGATTCAGGGAAACCAGTTATTTATATATAGCCGGACTTGAGTCCTGGAAATGGGAAGTACAATGCCTGCACTCTAAAGGAGGGGTTTGGGATATTGGCAGTTTAGAGGGATATGTTGTGTATCTTCATACATACATGCTTTTAAGCTGTTGTGTTCTGAGCACCTCTGCAAAAACAGTGATTATGTGTGAGTGAGGTGAAAGTGTTGAATGATGATGAAAGTATTTTCTTTTTGGGTCACCCTGCCTCAGTGGGAGACAGCCGACTTGTTAAAAAAAAAAAAATTATTTTAATACAAAGAATTCACTCAACCTTCATAACTACATCAGTATCTAGCATATCTCATAATTTATACAAGGAAAACACTTTGAAACCTTGCTGGACACCACTCTCTCCCTAATGTCTTGTTTTCTTAACCCTTTCAGGGCTTCGGCCGTACTAATATGGCTTACGTGCCAGGGTCCTTGATGTACTAGTACTCATAAATTCTAGCGCCTTCAAATCTAGTGAGAGAAAGCTGGTAGGCCTATATATGAAAGAATGGGTCTATGTGGTGAGTGTGCGCCATATAAAAAAAATCCTGCAGCACACAGTGCGTAATGAAAAAAAAAAAACTTTGACCATGTTTTTGGATTAAAACAGCGACTTTGCATTGTATTTTCGTATGGTATTTATTGTTGTATTCTAGTTTTCCTGGTCTCAATTGATAGAACGGAAGACATATTACAGAAATTGAGATAATTTTGACTGGTTTTACAATGAAAAGTACCTTGAAATTGAGCTCAAAGTAGCAGAAATGTTCGATTTTTACCAAAGTTCAAAAGTAAACAAATCATACTAAGCGTCCAATACACGTCAACTGGTGAGTCTAATATTCTTTCACAAGTGTGCCAATATTATTTATACCATTTCTACACTAATGCAGTAGTCTGCATAACAGTAAATCTTCTATTTTTTGTGAGAATAAAAATTAAAAATGGAAAGCAAAAGAATGTAACAGGGGCATGGGGACGTGACTAATGAACAGAGGAAATGTTATTTTAGTGCCAGGAATGTCTTTCTTGTTTATTCTGGACCCTATTTGGAAATTGGCATCTTTTGAAATTTGTGTGAAATTGGCAAAATTGCTAAATTCTGACCACTGTATTGGATAGTTGAAATCGGTAAATGGGTGGCTTCTTGTACTCATTCGATAGAAAAATGGAGTTCTAGCTAAATAGTTATGATTTTTGTCTACTAGTACACTGGAATTGGCCGAAAATAGGGCTCAAAGTGGGCAAAATTGCCGATGTGTAAACATCGTCGAGACCGGTAACTTTGCGAGAGCACAATTCCGTAAGTTTTCCATCAAATTTCATAATTTTGGTGTCATTATGATCGGGAAAAGATTCTCTATATTTTCATAAGAATTTTTTTTTTTTTTTTTTTTTTGAAATTTAGGGGACCCTGAGAACAAGTCTCTGAGAGGGCTTGTGGACCCTGAAAGGGTTAATGAAGTACACTGTTGATTCTTTAAGAACAATTTTGAGGCATGCATGTCTATAGTCACATACAGTATGGACTTCAGCCCAGGTTATATACTACATTACTGTCATTAATTTATTAACATTTTGTGGTATAAAGGTCAGTTTATTATGTTTAAAGCCTACTGACTGACCCACAAATATATGAAATGACTGGTTGCTAGGCACCCCAATGCAAACAATGAACATATTTACTATTGAAGTATCAACTAACCTTTTACAGCAAAACAATCTTTGGTAGTGAATGGAACACCCAAGAAGGGTTTAGTCTCTTCTAATGTCTTCTCATCCATAGAGTTGGATCTGTGGAGATATGAAAACAATGTATGAAGAAGATACATGTGCAATATATGGGGAACTTTTATCTAGGAAAAAGTTTTTGATCCTAGCAAGTGAAACTTATCCTAAATAAAGGTTTCCTATAAGCTGTGCTTGTCTTCTTTATACTAGTAAGCATTTTCACATAAAATATCATGAGGATAAGAAAACAATTACAGTACCTAATTTCTCCATTCTATAACTTAGAGTAAGACTGATATACAATTTTACTAAAATAAATCTAGAGCTTGATGGCTTAGCTTGAGTTAAAATGACATTTCTACATTGCACAAATTTAATTCATAAGCAATACCTATACAGCAACATTAGAGTATATTATATTCATGGGCAGATACTAAACCCACAGGGGTTATAAAGTGCCTGAAAAATAGGAGTTAATCCAGTTTAATCCAAGGAAGGGGAAGACAGTTCCAATTCCTTAAGTCAGGAACCCTTAATTTACCTTGAACAATTATGTTATCTACCTTTCTATAAATTATTTTAATGTATTTTATGTTGAGTCATAATTCAGTTCAAAATGGACTGCATAACTCAGGGTTTTTCCATGTGATGATGATGAAATGAAGATGATTATATAATATAAACTGCATCGTAAAAAATAAAATTGACTTTAGTTTACTTTACTTCACAAGCATCCTTGTGCCCCCTGAAGGACATGGTTATGGAAGCATTTGATAATAATGCTCGCCTTCTGTTCAGCGCAACACAGGAAATATGATTAAATAACTAAATGATAACATATATCGTACTGAATAAGCTTGTCGACAGTCTTGGCCTCTTCTAGAGCCTCGTCAAATCGAGAGTCGACTACGCAGTTGAGTATAGGGTTGATTTCCTTGATGCGTGCTATAAATGATTTGACGACTTCTTCACTTGTGAGCTGTAAGGAAAAAATATAAATCCTTCTTCTAAACTATTCAGAATAGTAGACATTTTGGTCACATTTTAATGTTAGAAGAATTCTGAGGAAGCACATGAAATATTCCTATACATTAGGACTTGATGACTTGGTTATCACATAAATGAAGCAGGTGATGGGCTGCCTATCACATATGTGACACAGGTGATAGGTTACCTATCACATACATGAAGCAGGTGATGGATTGCCTATCACATACATGAAGCAGGTGATGGATTGCCTATCAAATACATGAGGCAGGTGATGGACTGCCTATCAAATACATGAGGCAGGTGATGGGTTGCCTATCACATACACGAGGCAGGTGATGGGTTGCCTATCACATATGTGAGGCAGGTGATGGACTGCCTATCACATACATGAGGCAGGTGATGGGTTGCCTATCATATACATGAGGCAGGTGATGGATTGCCTATCAAATACATAAGGCAGGTGATGGGTTGCCTATCACATATATGAGGCAGGTGATGGAGTGCCTATCAAATACAAGAGGCAGGTGATGGGCTGCCTGTCACATACATGAGGCAGGTGATGGCTGATGCATAAGACACATGTGCAACACTTGGCAATCTTTACTGCCATGATATTTCACCTCTACACAGCAGGCTTTTTCAGTCTAATACACAGGCGACTTTTATACTGATGAAGATTGAGCCACTTATGCAAGATATGGGAATCTTTATTGAGTAAACGTTTCACCACACAGTAGATTCATCAGTCCAATACAAATCAGAAGGGGGTAAGGAGAGAAGGAGTTCGAGGTAATCAGTCCCTCAGCCTGGAGTCGATGTGTTCAGTCCATCAGTCTTGTAGAAAGTACAGCATAGGGCCATAGACGTGGCTTATATACTTTAGTCAGGTGTATATAAGTCATGTCTATGGCCCTATGCTGTACTTTCTACAAGATTGATGGACTGAACACATTGACTCCAGGCTGAGGACTGATTACCTCAAACTCCTCCTCTCCTTACACCCTTCTGATGAAGCAACTGTGTGGTGAAACGTTTCGTCAATGAAGATTCCCATATCTTGCATAAGTGTCTCAATCTTCATCTTGTCAGTTTTTTAAACCATTTATCACGACTTTTATATTGGAGACAGTGGAAGACATGAAGAGGTAATTTCAAGGTGTTTTGTTCCTTAGCCTCCATAGGTGTTCAGTCACTTAGCCTTGACAGGTGTTGTCTATTAGCTTGATAGGTGTTCAGTCACTTAGGCTAAATCTAAAGCAGAGGCATAAGGATGGACAGAGCAAGGCTACTGGGCTAAACACTTTCTATTAATGCTAAGAGACTGAACATTGTATATTAAGGCTAAGGGACTGAACACTTTCTACAAAATTACATTGGAACCTCAGTATACGACCAGGTCCCTGCTCAAACAAAGCTCAGCATGACCAAACAAATATGGCCTGCCAGAGCTTCACTGTAAAGTATTTTGTGTTTCTTCAAATTTTTTTTTTTTTTTTTTTTGTATTATTTGTATAAATAAGTAGCCATGGGACCCACAATGATTAGTAACAACAGCCAACCAAACAGAAAATTGGTTGGAAAGAACTTGTTCGATACTCAAATGGAGTGGCACTCGAACAGCCTTCTGGAATGAATTAAGGTCACATACCAAGGTTCCACTCTACCTTTCTTTTCTTCTACTGTCTCCAGTATAAAAGTCAATTCTGTATTCGACTGAAAAAGACTGCTGCACAGGCAAAATGACTTGTCAAGGATACCCAGGTATCTGCACATGTATTATAGTATTTACAGATGACTTTTATATTACAAGGTAATTACGTTCCTCAAAATGCCGTGTTAGGTAAAATCGTGTTAGATAAACTGAAGAACTTATGGGAAAAATTGGGTTATGTTCCTGGGAGCCTCCAAAAAGCCAAAGAACTTGTTTTAGACCAACAGATCTTACAAAAATAAAAGTGAATATATAACTGCAGTTCATTGTCATGATATATTATGTTTTTACTGCTTAAGGCTACAAATGCAACAGAAATAAAAGTATTTCTTATCTTAAATTGTGGGTGCTGGTGCTTGTGGATGATTGTGAAGAGAGTGGAGATGCATTGTTTGGCCCTACTAGGCTGAGGTGGATGGTTGTTGGTTGTCAGCAGAAGTGGATGGTAGAGGTTCTGATACTAAAGAACATAAGAAAGCAGGAACACTACAGTAGACCTGTTGGCCCATACTAGGCAGGCCCTTCACAAATCATCCCACTAACTGTTGTATTGGGTGTATTGGAGTGTGCATAAATTATGTAATGGATCTCTGGGCTCTGCATAATATTCACACCACACAAGGTGTGGTGTGAATATTATGCAGAGACATGCCATCTCCACCTCCAGCCTCCTTGTAGCTGCAACATTCACAACCCATGCTTCATACCCATATAAATGTGGGTACCATTATGCTCTAATACAATACCCTTTTTTCCTCCACTGATAAGGCTCTATACCTCCACAGATGACTCAAAGCACTACCCACCACCTCTTTCCCATTGTCGATTCAATAGTTCACCTCATCTTTCACAGACCTGACTGCTGACAAGTCCACTCCCAAATATCTGAACACATTCACTTAGGTAGTAGGTTGGTAGACAGCAACCACCCAGGGAAGTACTACCGTCCTGCCAGATGACTGTGAAACAAAAACCTGTAACTGTTTTGCATGATGGTAGGATTGCTGGTTTTCTTTTTCTGTCTCATAAACACACTAGATAACAGGGATATCTTGCTACTCCTACTTACACTTTGGTCACACTTCACAGACACGCACATGCATATATATATATACATACATCTAGGTTTTTCTCCTTATTCTAAATAGCTCTTGTTCTTTTTTATTTCTTCTATTGTCCATGGGGAAGTGGAAAAGAATCTTTCCTCCGTAAGCCATGCGTGTCGTATGAGGCGACTAAAATGCCGGGAGCAATGGGCTAGTAACCCTTCTCCTGTATACATTTACTAAAAAAGAGAAGAAGAAAAACTTTATAAAACTGGGTTGTTTAAATGTGCGTGGATGTAGTGTGGATGACAAGAAACAGATGATTGCTGATGTTATGAATGAAAAGAAGTTGGATGTCCTGGCTCTAAGCGAAACAAAGCTGAAGGGGGTAGGAGAGTTTCAGTGGGGGGAAATAAATGGGATTAAATCTGGAGTATCTGAGAGAGTTAGAGCAAAGGAAGGGGTAGCAGTAATGTTAAATGATCAGTTATGGAAGGAGAAAAGAGAATATGAATGTGTAAATTCGAGAATTATGTGGATTAAAGTAAAGGTTGGATGCGAGAAGTGGGTCATAATAAGCGTGTATGCACCTGGAGAAGAGAGGAATGCAGAGGAGAGAGAGAGATTTTGGGAGATGTTAAGTGAATGTATAGGAGCCTTTGAACCAAGTGAGAGAGTAATTGTGGTAGGGGACCTGAATGCTAAAGTAGGAGAAACTTTTAGAGAGGGTGTGGTAGGTAAGTTTGGGGTGCCGGGTGTAAATGATAATGGGAGCCCTTTGATTGAACTTTGTATAGAAAGGGGTTTAGTTATAGGTAATACATATTTTAAGAAAAAGAGGATAAATAAGTATACACGATATGATGTAGGGCGAAATGACAGTAGTTTGTTGGATTATGTATTAGTAGATAAAAGACTGTTGAGTAGACTTCAGGATGTACATGTTTATCGAGGGGCCACAGATATATCAGATCACTTTCTAGTTGTAGCTACACTGAGAGTAAAAGGTAGATGGGATACAAGGAGAATAGAAGCATCAGGGAAGAGAGAGGTGAAGGTTTATAAACTAAAAGAGGAGGCAGTTAGGGTAAGATATAAACAGCTATTGGAGGATAGATGGGCTAATGAGAGCATAGGCAATGGGGTCGAAGAGGAATGGGGTAGGTTTAAAAATGTAGTGTTAGAGTGTTCAGCAGAAGTTTGTGGTTACAGGAAAGTGGGTGCAGGAGGGAAGAGGAGCGATTGGTGGAATGATGATGTAAAGAGAGTAGTAAGGGAGAAAAAGTTAGCATATGAGAAGTTTTTACAAAGTAGAAGTGATGCAAGGAGGGAAGAGTATATGGAGAAAAAGAGAGAGGTTAAGAGAGTGGTGAAGCAATGTAAAAAGAGAGCAAATGAGAGAGTGGGTGAGCTGTTATCAACAAATTTTGTTGAAAATAAGAAAAAGTTTTGGAGTGAGATTAACAAGTTAAGGAAGCCTAGAGAACAAATGGATTTGTCAGTTAAAAATAGGAGAGGAGAGTTATTAAATGGAGAGTTAGAGGTATTGGGAAGATGGAGGGAATATTTTGAGGAATTGTTAAATGTTGATGAAGATAGGGAAGCTGTGATTTCGTGTATAGGGCAAGGAGGAATAACATCTTGTAGGAGTGAGGAAGAGCCAGTTGTGAGTGTGGGGGAAGTTCGTGAGGCAGTAGGTAAAATGAAAGGGGGTAAGGCAGCCGGGATTGATGGGATAAAGATAGAAAAGTTAAAAGCAGGTGGGGATATAGTTTTGGAGTGGTTGGTGCAATTATTTAATAAATGTATGGAAGAGGGTAAGGTACCTAGGGATTGGCAGAGAGCATGCATAGTTCCTTTGTATAAAGGCAAAGGGGATAAAAGAGAGTGCAAAAATTATAGGGGGATAAGTCTGTTGAGTGTACCTGGTAAAGTGTATGGTAGAGTTATAATTGAAAGAATTAAGAGTAAGACGGAGAATAGGATAGCAGATGAACAAGGAGGCTTTAGGAAAGGTAGGGGGTGTGTGGACCAGGTGTTTACAGTGAAACATATAAAGTGAACAGTATTTAGATAAGGCTAAAGAGGTCTTTGTGGCATTTATGGATTTGGAAAAGGCGTATGACAGGGTGGATAGGGGGGCAATGTGGCAGATGTTGCAAGTGTATGGTGTAGGAGGTAGGTTACTGAAAGCAGTGAAGAGTTTTTACGAGGATAGTGAGGCTCAAGTTA